GTCTACAACTACTCATTGTGCTTGCACGTTATTTATGCTATTGACAAATGTTGAATGTTTTAAATTAAAATGTTTAATAAATAGTTGTTAATACTGTGTGTTTACACACCATATTTTATACTGTATGGCATTAATAAATCTGTCATGTTTGAGTAATTCCTTGTGAAATGTAAATTATATTAAAGCCATATTAGCTGTCAAAATGTGCAAATTTCCAATGTTTTGGATTTAATTTGTTTTCTATACGTGTATCATGTAGTGTAGAATAAAAATAACCACTAACCTGTCCAAAACGAAAACCTTTTTTCTCCTCATTACTTTTGAAAACAAAGAGTAATAATTAAAAGAGACAAGCTTTTCAGAGAAGACAAGACGGGCGGTGGAGGCTCAGATCATATAAGCAGATGAGTTGCTGACATAGGCCGATTTCGAATTACTGATCGCTGAATTTATTTGTAATTAAAGGAATATTTTCTGTTTTCTTATGCAGTTTCAACAGAAAATCTTGATGAGTTTGAGTCACAATAACTCCCAACGATTTAATAATGTAGGGATTTTGCTAAAAGTCATCATAACATTAAAATCTGCTTTGATTGCTTTAATGGCTTTAAAGTTTAGTCCATCTCTACTTCTATAGGTTTTTATTAATAAACGGGGTTGAATATTCATGTATTTTTCATTGTCAAAACAAACTTTCAGATATTTGGGGGGCGTGGTTAACGTGTAGCCGAAACGGGGCGGGGTTTATGTTGAATATTCATTGGCGCGTGGCTGACAGGAGGGCGCACGCGAAAGAAMGAGGAGAGAGCGGATGAACGAGAAGTCCGAGGAGGGGAAAGAAGGATGCGGAATTAAAAAAATAATAATTATAATTCATCGTTTGACACCAAAATAAGTTAGTCTCGCCGGGTTCACGTGAGGGAAGCGCGGACAAACGGCCGAGCTCGAGCCGTCCGAAAGAACCTCCTCGGCTCTTTTTTTTTTATTTCTTAATGAGTTCGTTTTAAAACACTCGTTTTCTCGGGAGCTAACTGTCCATCTGCGTGAAGAAGCGACGATGGAGTCTATCTTTGACAGTTTAACGGCGGAGAAACTCTATCACTCCGGCGGGACCAACCTGTTGGACCTGGAGGAACTCGGTGACGGTGATTTCCTCACTAATGTGGTGAGTTCTCCAGTGTCATTAGCTAAATGAACTGTTCGGGGCTGGAAATTCAAACGCACCCCCCRCCGAGCTTTCCGCCCCGGAGCCGGACCTCAGGAGGGCGGTGSATTTATTACATCCTGACACACAACCGGTGCTCACACACCGAGTCTGTGTGTTTAAATTGTGTAAACTACTACTGGAAACACCGGCAACATGCTGCTGAGTTACTGGTTAACCTGCGTGTTCTTCTCCCAGGTGCTGCTCTGTTCTGTGGGCGAGAATCATTTTTGCCCCGTGGGTGCGTGTGTCAGTCTGTTAGCAAAATACCTCAAGAACCACTGCAAGTATTTCAATTAAACTTGCAGAACTTAATCTCCGGCTGTGCATCTACAACTGATTAACTCTTGCAGTCAGTCCAAAYCAAGATGGTGACCACAGCCAACTGATCTTATAAACACAAACATGGGTAAAGCTCAGTAAATGTGCAGAAATTGACACGTTTAAGAGTGGTAGTAGCTGAGGCTGATTACCACCACATATAAGCACTAACAGAAYACACTAAAACATATCTTATAAACTCACCATTAACTATTTGGAGTCAACTTAGTCTGTTAGCAAAATATCTCATAACCCACTCCACAGATCTTAATGAAACTTTCAGGAAGTAATCAGTGGCTGTATTATTTACACGTCATTAACTTTTGGAGTCCGGCCAATTCAACATRGCAACTAAACTTATAAATTATGGTTATACAGAAGCTGCTAAAATTTGGTTTGGTAGTAGCTGAGAGTTAGCAAAATATTTCATGAATCACTATTTTTAATGAAACTCTCATTGTATGTGCATCTACAGCTGATTAGACTCTGGAGATGATCCAATTCAAGATGGCTGCCACAGCTAATTAATTAGACGACATAAGAATGGTCATTTTTGTTGGTCAGTTTTACAGCTATTCAGCTAAAACTGATGTGGTAGTAGCCTGGGAGTAGTTCACAACACTTACTCCGAGCATAAGACTGTGCACAATATTTTCTCAACACAATTAAAAAAAAACGACACCTGAGATCAGGTTGTCTCCACGAGCTGAGCTGATCAACAGGAAGTGGTAGTGCAGAATCATGCCTGTTAATCAGTACAACCGTCACATGTTGGGTAAAAAGAAGAAAAAAAAGTGCAGTGCAAACACAACCTGATGCATGAAGGATTTTCACTTGATCTCAGAGTAAAAACAGATCTGTTGCATCAAGCTTTTAAAGCGTGAGCCCCATCCAGYTCCACACTGAGAGTAATGACATTAGGTGGAGAAACTGAGAAGAGGTTAATGAGTCGTGGCTCTTTTTTTTCCACATTCTGTCCTAACCCATCTTTTAATCAGTTTTTTTTTTTTTTTTTAAAGCAGATGTCTATTCTAGTCAGTGAGTCAGTTGTGCAGTCTGCTTGTGGTTTAACCTCCCCTGTCTCTGTCTCTGTCTCTAAATAAAGGAGTCCACTCTGCTGTGAAGCCACTAGGCTGGGCTGTACCACTGAGGAAATGGGAAAAGATGGCTCATTATCACTGAGCTAAAATAAACTCATTTTATTTCATTTTTCTGTCCCCCATGTAGCGTTATCCACACGAATCTGCAGTAATGAAAATCTTTATTTATCTATTTTTTTTTTACTGGAGATGTCCTAAAACATTTTTGCATCTCACTATCCAGGTTGCAGTGTGACATAGCTTTATAAAGCTTTAAAAAGTCTGCACTTTGTGACGCCACAATCAGTGTCTGAATGTAATTGTCGGTAATTCAAGATGGCTGCCACAACTAAAGCGACCTTATCAACGTTTTGCAGCTATTGAGCTAAAATTTGCTGTGGTGGTAGTTGAGAGGCATTCCCGACACAGACTCCAACCCCGAATTTTAATCAAGTCAATTTACTCTATAAAGCACAATTATAAACAATACAACAAGGTAAAATAAATTTCACAGACAGAAAGGAACAGTGACTATTGTACCATTCAAAGACTTAAAATCAGCTGAGAACAAACGTCAGGATGCAATTTATGCCAAAGTTTGAGGGCCGTTACAGAAGAAGCCCAATCTCTGAGCTTCAGCTTTTAGTGAAGTGTTTGGGATCTTATTGCTGGATATTTGTCTACAAGTGATTCACATTCAACCCAACTGCAACTAATAGCCTTAGCCAATACAAACATGTCTATAACCCTGTCAGCTTTGAAGATAATGAACTAAAATCATATTTAGAATTAAGCTGAGAGTTGTTCCCAACACACATTCTAAGCACTAACCAACCTTCCTAAATATAATTTATTTGACAAAAAAAGGTATGAATTATACAAATATATTG